CAAGTTGAAATGTGTCTTGTGGCTGCTTTCTATGTGACCGAAAAAAAGAGATCAGACTTCCACACGATCGATGCGGAAAGGAATCAGATTTATTTTTTACTTTAGAATATCACTTACATTCGAAAGCTTTTTTCGTTCATGCTGCCTCCTTTGCCATGGCGACCAAGATAAGTTGAAATCTAGCTCTTTTTAATTTCACCGATAAAGAAAAATAATCATCAGGCTTAAAAAGACCAAAATATTTCACCGCAGAAATTGCCAATTTCTTACGATCAACCAATGGTTACTCCTTTTTAAGAGTGGGACGAAAACCGACGAAAACAAGTGTTTCATGGATTGCTGGAGGCAAGCAGTCATGCCGTGATTTATATTAACATTCGGGTTTGATGAAAATCGTTTCTTCCTTGTGAAAAATGATAAGGAACTGAACTGTTAAATAAAACGGTCGATACTTCTGTTTCTGGCGTCGGTTGTTCAAATGTTGGATAGCGCTATCCACCTGATAAATCACTATCCACGCGGATAAATGTAAGAGAAGCCAATTACTCTATCCGCTGGGTAGTGACTTATCCCGTGGGTAGCGCTATCCAAGGTTTACACAACCGCGGCCTGGCCCCAAAAGTTGTTCAAAACACGGTCGATACTTCTATTTCTCGCAGCGGTTGTTCAAAAGTTTGATAGCGCTATCCAGCAGATAAACCACTATCCAACGAATAAGAGTTAAAGAAACCTATTGCGCTATCCAATGGATAGTGATTCATCCCGTGGATAGCACTATACAGCGTTTGTACAACCGCGGCCTGGCTCCGGTTGTTCACCGTTTGCGCTATCCACCGTTTGAATCACCAGGGCCTGGTGTATTGTCGAAAGAATGTTTAGACTAAAACGATGAATAATATGAAAAAAATACTATACCAGCTGTATGGACTGCATAATAAGTAGCCAGCTGTTTAAACATTGCTAAAAGAGTGCTTTCAAAAGTCAATTTATTAGCATAATTATTAGCATAACGACAAGCGTCATATAATCAATATACGCGACGACCTCTTGTTACGTTAGGTCAAGCCCAAATGTCGAAATTTACAATCAGCCTCGGAGACCTAGGGGCGGTCAGCTGGACCGCGAGAAACGGCGGCGAAAGTTTTAAAGAACGGCCGAGAGAGCCGCTTGTATCCTACTCTTAACGAACCAGTTCCACGACTCAATCGAATGCTTGTCTCAGATTGGGCACAAAAAAAACAATCCGAAGCCAGAATTTATCGTGCTGCTCAAAGGAACTGCAGAAGAGTTGATTAAAATGTTACTTTTGGCGGGCAAAACAACCAAAACTGCAACGATAAAACTATTTTTAAAGTATTTTCGTTTGTTTATATCAAGCTTTATAACATAACTAAGATAGTACGCGCGCTCTGATTGGCCGAGAGGCGTATTTGCATGAGAAAATGTAAACATGGGTTGTGACTTCAAGATGTCTTGCTTTTCGCGCGCTAATCACGTAAGCACGAATTTGAAAAAGGTTTTGAGTTGAAAAACTCGTCAAGTTTACTTCATTTACCCATTTCCTAGTCGGCTGAAACTTGGAAAATCTTTAGAAACATGCAGTGTCAATTTTTTTTCGCTTGAGCGAGAAAAACCCGTATTTTGGAAAAGATCTTTTCCGCAAAACAAGGACTGATTACGCGTACAAGTTTCGTGTACAAGACTTTGCCACTGGTAAGAATTTCTCTTTTAATCAGTGCTCTGAACAAGAGAGTTTTGCTTTTTTTCTCTTGAAAGTTATTTTATAAAAGCAATAGGAAACTTTTTCTCTGTGTTTGTATATCCTGATATAAACACTCGAGGGGTTGGGAAAATTCTGGACAGTTATGCAAAGCCTCGACCTCGTCTCGGGTTTGCATAACTGTATCGAATTCTCCCAACCCCTCTCGTGTTTATATCAGGTTATGGAAACATGGAAAACGTTTCCTACTGTTTAATTTTAATACTTTGCAAGTGCAAATCAAGCAGTCGGGATTTGTACAAACCTTCGCGACTAGTAAGAATTTCTCTTTTAATCGGAGCCGGTAACAGAAAGTGTTGGTTCGTTTGTCTGGAAAAACGATCGAATCGAATCGCGATAAAAAAACGAAATTCGATTTTGGGACTACATTACGGCTTTCTAATAACGGCACTGGAGAAAATATATTATTATGTAAACACCAATGAAATACCAGGTGAGCTTTCGCGCGAAAACTTGATATCTTCACATGTGAAAATAACATGTTATCTTCACATGTGAAAATATCACCGTTGCTATGGCCACATGATAAATCGCGCAGAACAGTAATAAATTCTCTGGCCAGCAATTCAAATATTATCATACAATTTTTTTTCATAATTCAGATCGCCGCGGTCTCATGAGAAAGAACGACGACCGTGCGATCTTCAGCAACCTCGTCCCCAGGGTTTTTTCGCCCCTCCCAATTTCTAAGGAAAAAGCCCTGGGGACGAGGAGAGGTGTCCGTGTTATTAAGATGAACATATTTTAGAAGGAGGAACTGTAAAGGTTTGCATCTTTACAGACCTGCCAACCCCTGATAAAGGAAAATCTGGAGACCCATGAAAAAAAATCTGGAGATTCTATAAAAAATAGTGAGATTCTCTTTTTTTCCCGATCAAGATTAAACAAACCCCTTTACATATACGATTGCGATCGCTTTCCCGCGCTGAACTTACAAAGACTACTGGGAAACTCAACATGGGAGACGCCTGGGAATTAGACCTCATTCTCAGGGCCTACTCCCCTTTCAAAATGGCGGACAGACACGAAGAAAAACTATTACGTTTATTGAACACAAGCGAAAATCACAGCTGGGTACAAAAAAGTAAGAACAGTGTTCTTCTTTATTAGTTTTTCACTTTATGGCACAAGCATTCCTCGTTAATTTCCCATTTTTATTCTGATTCAACAACTTAAATCATTTCAGAATGATTTTTCCCAAAACCCGTGAGATTGAGGAGCCTTGTCGTGAGACCGTGAGAAATGACAAAAAATCGTGAGACTCACGGCAGAACCGTGAGAGTTGGCAGGTCTGTCTTTAGGACCAAGAGAACTGTCCGTGTCCGTGAAAAGATGTCTGTATAAGAGTAATGATAACAATAATGTGTGGTAGATCATGATTTTCAATCACGTTTAAGAAGGGTGCGCCAAAATATGGAGGGGGCGGGAGGAAGCTTTTTCATTTAGCGAAACGCAGTGTTGTTAGGCTAAGAGGAAGAAGAACCTGTTTTGGATTAAAGGAATGACTATCTTTAGTGATTACATTAAAACTGCGGAGTGCATTGATGTGTGAGAGTCTTAAGAAAGAAACCTAGTATTCATTCATCCTTCTCATAAATATCGGGAAAGGGTAACTTAATTGACAAGGAAAACGCAAAAAGTATTTGTGGTATTCAATCTGTTTTCAGTTGTTATAAGAAGGTAAGACGGAGAGAGATCTGTGTTTTTATCATTTTACAGATCGAAGGATTGACTGAGACCGTGGAGGCCTGGAATCTAAAAAATGAGGATCACCCCACGAAGATGTCTCAGAAATGGAGTAATAATACTGTTTATCTTCGGCCTTTTGAGCTGCTTTAAAGTTCTCTGGCGGCCAAAAGTACCAACACTTATTAGAAAACCTCCATCTAGACTTCAGTGGGTTCAAGGTCAACCAACAAGGAAGCCGGCAACTCAGGTTTACTCTCCAACTCACACAACTGAAGTAGAAGACAGTAGTCCATCCCTGCTAGAGAAATCACGAATCCTAATTCTTGTCTACACTAAATTTTGGAATGAGGAAAGGTGGGTTGGTGAACAACGAGGCGAGTGCTTTTTGGATTATGATCGTAAGACTCAGTGCCCGCTAGAGAAATTTGAGGTGACGTACGACAAAAAGCGGTTTGCGGAGAGCGATTTGGTGATTTTTCACGCCGCTGCGGTAAACATGCCAAATTTAAAGCACCTAAGATCATTATCAAAGAACAGGGCATCTTCGCAGCGATGGGTTTATCAGAGTATGGAAAGTCCCATGTCAATGCCTGATCCAAAGCCGTTGAACGGACTGTTTAACTTAACTTGGACATACAGAGGAGATGCTGACTTCTCGGCAGCCTACGGAGCCTATGTCCCCCTTAGCCCCGAAGAAAAGTTAAATAAAATGGCATCTTTTATGACAGACTTTAGTCAAGGAAAATCAGAACTTGTAGCCTGGCTAGTTAGCAATTGTCAATCTCAACTACGAATGTCTTTTGTACGGGAACTGAAAAAGTACATTAAAGTTGACGTTTTCGGATCATGTTCCCGATTGTTTGGCAATCCACGAAAATGCTCGAAATCATATGAGAAACACTGCCTAAAGAGGTATAAATTCTATCTTTCTTTNCAACAACTTAAATCATTTCAGAATGATTTTTCCCAAAACCCGTGAGATTGAGGAGCCTTGTCGTGAGACCGTGAGAAATGACAAAAAATCGTGAGACTCACGGCAGAACCGTGAGAGTTGGCAGGTCTGTCTTTAGGACCAAGAGAACTGTCCGTGTCCGTGAAAAGATGTCTGTATAAGAGTAATGATAACAATAATGTGTGGTAGATCATGATTTTCAATCACGTTTAAGAAGGGTGCGCCAAAATATGGAGGGGGCGGGAGGAAGCTTTTTCATTTAGCGAAACGCAGTGTTGTTAGGCTAAGAGGAAGAAGAACCTGTTTTGGATTAAAGGAATGACTATCTTTAGTGATTACATTAAAACTGCGGAGTGCATTGATGTGTGAGAGTCTTAAGAAAGAAACCTAGTATTCATTCATCCTTCTCATAAATATCGGGAAAGGGTAACTTAATTGACAAGGAAAACGCAAAAAGTATTTGTGGTATTCAATCTGTTTTCAATTGTTATAAGAAGGTAAGACGGAGAGAGATCTGTGTTTTTATCATTTTACAGATCGAAGGATTGACTGAGACCGTGGAGGCCTGGAATCTAAAAAATGAGGATCACCCCACGAAGATGTCTCAGAAATGGAGTAATAATACTGTTTATCTTCGGCCTTTTGAGCTGCTTTAAAGTTCTCTGGCGGCCAAAAGTACCAACACTTATTAGAAAACCTCCATCTAGACTTCAGTGGGTTCAAGGTCAACCAACAAGGAAGCCGGCAACTCAGGTTTACTCTCCAACTCACACAACTGAAGTAGAAGACAGTAGTCCATCCCTGCTGGAGAAATCACGAATCCTAATTCTTGTCTACACTAAATTTTGGAATGAGGAAAGGTGGGTTGGTGAACAACGAGGCGAGTGCTTTTTGGATTATGATCGCAAGACTCAGTGCCCGCTAGAGAAATTTGAGGTGACGTACGACAAAAAGCGGTTTGCGGAGAGCGATTTGGTGATTTTTCACGCCGCTGCGGTAAACATGCCAAATTTAAAGCACCTAAGATCATTATCAAAGAACAGGGCATCTTCGCAGCGATGGGTTTATCAGAGTATGGAAAGTCCCATGTCAATGCCTGATCCAAAGCCGTTGAACGGACTGTTTAACTTAACTTGGACATACAGAGGAGATGCTGACTTCTCGGCAGCCTACGGAGCCTATGTCCCCCTTAGCCCCGAAGAAAAGTTAAATAAAATGGCATCTTTTATGACAGACTTTAGTCAAGGAAAATCAGAACTTGTAGCCTGGCTAGTTAGCAATTGTCAATCTCAACTACGAATGTCTTTTGTACGGGAACTGAAAAAGTACATTAAAGTTGACGTTTTCGGATCATGTTCCCGATTGTTTGGCAATCCACGAAAATGCTCGAAATCATATGAGAAACACTGCCTAAAGAGGTATAAATTCTATCTTTCTTTTGAGAATGTGATGTGCAAGGATTACATCACTGAAAAGTACTGGGATCATCTAGGTAAGGTTTGTGTTGTGCTGCTTTGTAGGGGTAGAGTGACTGTATACTTAACAATTATTGCTCGAGCCAGAATGGGCTCTGGGTCAATAGCCCATGAGGCCGAGGGCCGAATGAGCTATTGACTCAGAGGCTATGAGGGCGAGAGGAATAATTCTTTTAGTAAAAGCAAACTACCGTATTTATTCGAATAAGCGCCCAACCTCGAATTAGCGCCCACCACGAATAAGCGCCCATCCTAAAGGCAGAAAAAGTTAAAATAAGTAAGCGCCCAGCCTTGAATATTACATTTTATGCCGAGGTTAACCCTGTCTGAAAGTGTCGTTATTATTTGTATTCAGCGGTAATTTTTAATTCGACACTGGACTAATCACAACATTCAATATGGAAAATCACCATGCCTTATTCGCTTTTTGGTTTTGCGCTCACACCAGAAAAATAATAACGCGAAGGCAAGAGAGTGGCTAAGTTCAGACGGCAACGATTGAAGAAATTTCGACCGATTGAAAATTCGTGCGTTTAGGTGTTCCGTTCACTCGGAACCACCTAAGGGTACGAAAATTTAGAGGCCTAACCGCTCCGTGTGAACGGAGCGAAAATATTGAACGGTCCCGTGTGAACGAAGTGTTCCGTCAAATTTTTCAACCGGTCGAAAATTTGTCCGGTGCTGTGTGAACATAGCCTAAAACACTCAGTTAACCCTTTAAGCCCTAAGAGTGGTCAGCATCAAATTTCTCCTTGTAATATCAATACATTGCAAAACAGAGTGGTTATGAGAATTACGGACATGATCACACAAGATGAATTTGTTTGATATTTTATCAACTTCTCCCCACTACTTTTGTAGGAAATGGATAGGGGCAACAAATGAGAATTCAAATTTTGATCTTAGGGTCTAAATTTAGTTAAGATGAACTCAAAACTTGGCTGTTCTCTTTCAGGAGAAGAAACAAATATTGTTCCCGTTGTGATGGGTGGCGCTGATCCCTCAGACTACAAACGAATGGCTATTCCGGGATCTTATATCAATGTTATGGACTTCAAGACTGTAAAACAGCTAGCAGAATATCTTCAATATCTGGACAAAAACAACACAGCTTACAACGAGTACTTTAAGTGGCGGCTTAAATACAAAAAGAGTCCTTATCACTACCCTCTGTGTAACTTTTGCAGATCACTCGCCTTAAAACCTGACCTTAGAAAACCTAAAGTTTACCACGATCTTAAAAAATACTGGGAAGGAGAAGGAGTGTGTAAAATGCAAGGAATACTTGTTAGATATATGTGGAGTTGAATGGTGACCAAACTTACAAGAAGAATTCATTTTTTCACTGACTCAAATGCCATTTGAAATGTTAGTTTTAGAATTACCCACACGTACGCATGCGGCCTACAAGAGGGTTGGTTTACTTTTGCGATAGTCATGAGGGAATGCGCATGAATAAAGATTGTTACAGGGGTTTTGCCCCAGTGGTTCCAAAAAGGGGAAAACACTACAGCCGGATAAATCTCTGACTGGTTTCTACAGTACTATCTTATCCGCTAGATAGGGATTTATCCGGTGGATTGCGCGCTATCCAACGTTTGAACAACCGGGCGCAGATCCTCAAGGCATTATAAGCAAGCGTGAGTGAAAGAGAAAAAAACAGCGGGGAGACTAAGGAGAGAAAGGGAGATTCCCTCCTTTCTCCACATTCGTTCTCAAGCGCTCATTTGAGGGCGAGCGTATTGCATCAACGGAATTACGGGCGAAGATAGTGTAGCTACTCCCTTATTACTTACTCCCCGCATTTACAATTTAATCAATGAGAAAAAGAGTAGA